AGGTATTTTGATCCAATAAACACTCATTGTAAAAGATTATGTTTGCGGGCTAGTGATTTATTTATTAACACCTTAAATTAAAATTCAATGGCCAGACTATAAGTGTTAATTATTAAATTCGTTTTAATGCTAGTTAAGTGATAAAGATTTAATATTGTTTTAATTTTAAATGCATTTCCATGCTAACAATAATCATAATAGTTTATGTAGGCCTATTGTTCCGGGTACTTAAAAGTATACTTAAAAGTATATATTGTGAAATAGATATGTATTTTTGTAAAATAGCACATGTCACTGAAGTAAATTGATCGCAAAACTGTTGTAAGTCCTTCATTATTCCATGTAAGATACTGCAGTTTTGCGGTTATTCCTCGATATGCACTGTCATTTAAGGGCCGTTGAAAGTTTTTGATATATCATTGAACTTGATCTTTTGACCTGAAAATGTGAGGGGTAGGTAGAACACATCAAGATGTCTCCACATATGAAGTTTAATTGTTATAGACTTATTAGTATTGGAATGGGTGACAATAAACACACACCTATACAAGTCTATATACAATGTACATCAAGTACCTCCTTTGGTTGAGCGAATGTTGACTCATGGGTCATGATTCACATTTATTTTGTATAAGTTCACAAGGCAATGCTACATTCCAATATTCAATCTTCAGGCATTTGAGTTTCATACAATAAGACTGAAATATATTTTACTATGCAGATTTATGTAAATCATGACTCTCTTTATGATTTAGATACATGCCCATTTTGTAGTTGTCCACAAGGCAATAACACATGCCAAATATTTGGGCTTCGACATTTTAGTTTTAGAAAATAAGTCTTAAATTTCTGTTTTTCCTACATCAATTAAGTTTTCCCCTTGACCTACATTAGCAACAGACCGGAGCCATTTGACCATCTTTGGAAGGGGACCACCCACCGAACGATAATTCCTGTAAGAAGATGTTGTTTAAAGAAAAATAAGACAGACAACATTGTAAAGATAATTGTATCAAGAAAGATATTAATCATCAAAACAAGTTTGAAATTGCTAAATGAAAACAAACCAATCTATGTAGACATTTAATGGCCTGTGCCTAAACTTGAACTAAACTAGTATAAAATGATGTTACATAAGAGTACAATCCTTTGACGGCTTAATGTTATCAGTTTGAAACTAATACTTTGATATTTAACAGATTACTATATCAATATAAATATTTAGTGGTCAGAATCAAAATGAAAATACTACCTGTTTTTAATTTGTTTCCGCCTTGTTCTGAAAACTTTTTCTTTGCAAAATTAAAGATATATAAAGATATATATCAAAATAATTACCTTAAAACGAAACTTATCCATAAAATAAAGAAATTATAGAAATAGACGCCGAGTCCATATCAACTTCCGGTAGGTTCCCGTTTCACAATATCCTTTTCCTTGATATGGAATAATATATCCCAAAATTGGTTTTTACCGCATTTATGTTCTCTGACGGATAGCCTTATTAACTCGGCGTGAACGGTTTCAAAGACACTTGGGGTGTGGAGCTTAAAACGCCTTTAAAATCCAAATGAAATGTATATTTGTCAATTCCAGCATATGTACTGATCATATATATAAAAAAACTTAATATAAGCCGTTTTGAAAAAAAAAAATCATATTTCAACGTCTATAATAATACACAAGATAAAAATGTTCGCTGGAAAAAATCCGCACACCTACCGTCAACATCACCATGTATTTTATTCCATTTCCAATATTTTCACATAATCCTTTGGTCGATCAACACAGAAGATATAATTTTTCACGATGATGGTCAATTTTAAACTTCAACTGTAATATAAACAACGCAACAGCCGAAATAAACATCAAGATTATCGCCGTTTTACTCCATTTACAAAATCTTTCGATAAATTCAAACATGGCCCCGGCTTTGCCGTGTACAAATACGCCCTGCTTTGAAGTATGGGAACCAACATATTACGAATGGCTCTGCCCATATCCGACTGGTTCCCATCTTCAAAGCGCAGCGCATTTTGATGACCTTTAGAGAGACTGTTTTCCATGCTAACTGACCTCATTGGCAAGGACCCCGTAGATGACAGAAACCCTAGTACCCTTCTGGCTACCTAAACTGGAACCTGAAGAGCTAAAGTGATCAGCAGTAGGAACAACTGACTACACTGGTTTAATTGCCAATGTACCACCTCATCTACACAACAGGGATTTTTTCACAATGCAGGTCTTGTCTGCAGATAGGGAGAGAAACGACCTACCTTTTCACCATCCCTTTCTATTTTGTCAGTCTCTGCTCCAGGTCATCTAAGAATATGCTTCAATCATCGGTTGACATATAGGCCCCGTTTGTTGCTCCCGTGATGACTGGGACGAAACACAAAAAACCTTTTCCGGTTTCTTCCGGTCGCCATACATGGATGCATAAACCTGTTGGTACTGGCTTATAATTTGTGGTTGCTGCATGACAAAAATGTGACCTGCCTCTATGTCGACCATACCCTGACAGAGTATGTTCAGTTTGAGCAGTAACAAACTCCTTTGGTAGCTTCCTGAAAGGTCTATAACATGGAGTGAGCACTCGGTCAGTCAACTCATCTAGGGACACTGTTATCTCTTGTGCAGCATTTTGAAACCTTATCTGTGCAGCAGCTGGTAACTAATGTTGGCCAAATCGGGCAGTTAACTTGCGTACTAGCATCTTATAGGTAAGTTGACCTTCATGTTCATGGACAAGCGCATAGTACCCGAGCGCTTCGCCATTTAAATACCAGACGAGGCAGTAAACTTGTTCTTCATCAGCCATCTCGCCTTTTTGGACATAGCGAGTGCACTTTAAAAAGAACAGAACGGTTTCCAGCTACTCTTACCATCTCTTACCATCATATGATAAGCGTTCGGGAAAGGCCGATACCCGGTTACAATCCCTTGAACGCTTGGCAATAAAATCTGTAGGAGTCTAAAACTTCAGCTATTTACTTGCAAAAATCTTGTTGTTTGTTGCAATGGTGCAAATAGATGACATTTCTTTCTGCTTGTGAGCGGTCAGGACATTGGTTGTCGCTTTTACCACCTTCGCCATTCCCATCCAATTATTCAATCTTCTACCTCGACCTCGTCTGTGTCAGTATTCTCAAATATACTTTTATTCCTTAATGTGCTTCTTATTGTGATGTTGAAACATATTCGGTCAACGAAGTGTTTGGAAAGACATCTTCAAATACCACCACACTGACAAGAGGTATATGACTACTGTGACCACCTTTGTTACGATCATTGTGAAGATCTACGAATTCAGTTAGTACATTTGCCAATTGAGGTTCAAGATGTTTTCCCAATAGTAAGTTTTACCTTGGTGACTTCACTAATAAAGAACATGTCATTGATACTGGGGATGCAAAGCCTGTGAAGCAACGTATGCGGCGAATGCCGGCATGCTAAGCAAGTGGATAAGAGGCCCACCTTTCCACCAGGAAACGCTGGAGGCAGGGATCATACACGAGTCTATATCAGACTGGGTGTTCGCTCCAGTTATGGCTCTGTGCGTTATTGCATAGACTATATGAAATTGAGTGAGGTTACCGTCAAAGACGTGTATCCTCTGTCTTAATTCGTTGATTGCATGGACACAGTTGCTGGCAATGCAGTGTCTGGTTTTCAAAATTCGATGCCAATTCTGCATTCTTGCTGTTAAAACACCACAATGTGCTTTAACTAAATAAATCGCTATATCTATCTCCTCTCTCTGGCTATGACAAAAGAGCTAAATGGAGTTTATCAAAATATTACAGTTACTCTACTGGTGGCAGCAAAAACGAAAACGAAATCCAAAAATGAACAAATTTTAACGAATTTCGCCCTTCCCGCAACGTCTAACCCAAGCAGAATTTGATGGCAAATTCCCGCTTAACTACGACGATTTTCATCGAAATTCCGATTTAAATCCTTCCAATAGATTTGCTCTATTTGAACAAAACCAAGAATCCAGGTAGACTTCTTTCTATAAGTGTAGACTTTGAGGGGAAATTCGTACACTTATTGGTAAATAGAGCTTTGGTAGCGTCTATTTTTCAGAAAGGAATTCGTAAAAAAATACCGCTGTCACCAATATAGAACTATCGCGATTGATTATAAATGAATTGACAATACACACAATCGACTTGCCTCCCACGTCTAGTTCGTATCAAAGCTAATAATTGCCTAATTGTTCTTAATAATTTTCTTCATTACTTATATGGCGCCTAATTGTCACACCTTTCACACTAATGATGGAAAACTACGTACCTATGCACTGTTTTATTACAAATTTTTGTGGGGAACTTTATTTAACAGTAATCAAAGATAAAGATATAAGAGCTTGTTTTACAAAATTAAACAATATGTTCTCACAAATTACAAATGGAGACCGGGAGGAATAAAATTATCAAGTCTGATAGAAGATTTTGCGAGGTATGCTACTCAAATGACGAACTACATTTGTATAGCTTGCAATGCTTTTACTTTTGAAAGCAGAACTTTATATAATGAAATAAAAGATACGAATTTAAACTTTAAAAATGTCTGAAATAAGCAAATTCATTTGGTTAATTAGCAACGAAGATGAAATAATCATAAAACAATTTCTAGATTTTATTTTTATTTGTTATTAACTCAGAAACAATACTGAGAAAACATAAGTCAATTTATGTCAACGTCATAATAAATTTCAAGTACCTGCTTTTTATATAAAAATGTAAATTTACCGCGAATTTCGTCCAGTTATTTTTACTGTCGTTGCGTACAGATAGACTGTAATTTAAAAAAAATAAAATAGATATTTGTAACAAGTTAGTATTTAACTTCAAAATAAACTTAAAATTTCCAAAATCGGATAATAAATGGAAATGCTAGTAATTAGTTTTTTTTTTGTAAAGTATGTATCTGTTGTGAATGGGCATTTACGCATTTAGCGCCGGTAAATTATCGATCGATGTAACTTTATCAGGTGTGCGCGTTTATAATTTTAACCCGTGTAATTTAGTTCCGTGTTTAAACTAAATGTATGTTTAAGTACCGAAGTTAACCCCTAAGGCAGCGACAGGAAACCAACTTAAAGGTCATACGTTTCTAAACCTGTTCTGTAAGTGAATATTTCATTTTCGATTTCGATTTCCGTAGAACTGATCACTGCTTTGATTGACAATTGAGTTTGTCACGTGACTTCTTAAAGTAATTAATCATAATTCTTCAGATATTTTTGTCATCGGTGAATTGAACATTTTGAATATTATATTATAAATTACAAGTTATTCGCCATCAACAAATCAATATTTTTGTTATGATTTTAGAACAAAGTGATAAAGTTAGGGCATATAAGGTGGAACAATCAGCGTTTGTAACAGGAACGAAAAGGAAAGTGGATCAAAGCAACCAGGATAAGTAGGTAACACCAATAAATAAGAAAAAGGAAAAAGTGTTGGAAGGAAATTTGATTTGCCAGTTTGAAAAGAAGGTCAATGTAGAAAAAAATCAGGTCTTAAAAGGAAAGTTACTGGAGCAGGAATGTTCTCATTTTTATGGAAAAGAGGTGAACAGAAGGGGAAAAGAGGTGAACAGAAGGAGAAAAGAGGTGCACAGAAGGATACAGAGCAGTACAGAAACGGATATCCAGTAAGTATTTTATTTGTAAAATAAATTAATTGTAATACAGTTGAAGTAAACGGTGTCCTGCTTGGGCCAGTTTAAAACTTCTATTGACATGCTATATTTTTTCTAAAGTTTTGCCACGCCTTTCTATATTTTCATAGATAAAGTAGCAAGATTTTACATTCTCAAAAGAAACTTTTCCCGCCAGTCAACGTTGAATATGTCTCATGCTTATACTTTCTTTTACTAATACTTTAATTCTCGTGCGAATCAAAATGTAAAAATCTTCGCGATTATTAACTTATTTTTGCATGTTTCTTTCGAGATCGGTAACTTATTTACAGTACTATAGTGACTATAGTAAAAGTTCTTCGAAAGAGAATGTTACATATTGCTACTTATCTATGAACAAGAGCCGGTGCGCTCGAATATTCTCAGTGCTTGATAGTAAAACAAGAGCCAGAATAATGTAAAATTTTCGAAGTTCAAAGGGGCCATAGTCCTGTAAAAATTCACCATAACATAAATTTTCCCTATTTTTCGAATAGCCGAGCTAAAACAAGAGATTTTGTGAATCTTAAATAGTAACAGGCGATATTTACAACAATTTTGATTTTATCCTCGGCTTCGCCTCGGACAATTTGTTGTTTATCCTAGCAAACTGTATTTTTTGGAAAAGCATTCGCATAATTACAATGTACATATTGCAATTAATTTAAATGGATTATATAAACACTAGTCTTGTCAAAAATTCGACAAAAGAATTTACAATTAATCTTTTTTAGCGATCGGTATTGTTTTTCTTCTTTTGTTTTGTATACTTTAATTACGACATTAATATCAAAGTCAATTAGATTAACAATTATAAAGTGTGAATTGAGAAGTTTTATCAGCGCTAATTAATGCACTGGGTTCCCATATCTACTCGATTATGTCACGTTTTCTGGCTACCACACACTCAAGGAGCCTACAATGATCAAGTAGTCCCCCCCCCCCTGATTTTTATATGTGACGAACATTTGAAGACATACAATAGACTTTTCTTTCAAGTTCCAATATTGTTTAATATAGTTTCAATATTGCAAAATTAATCTGTCACTAACCTGATTTGTATAGATTCATTCTTGAATTTTTAATGATTTTTTTTCTTTTTGTGTTAATCACGGACTTTAGTGTTTGAAATTAGTTTTTTTATAATTATGTTACTCTTTAAAAAAATTAAAATTTGTTTGAATTTAAAGCTTTATGCTTTATATTATAAAAAAACACATGGTCATTGTCCTTGTCAAATTAATAAAAAAAAGTTTATTTCCTTTAACTAAAACCAGTCAAACAAAGACGATTATTGCTTTAATCCCTCTGTGATGAATTATTAAATGTGACGAATTGTTAAACGGCGAATCGTTACTTATTCGTTTTAACAACTTCTGCAGTTTAAAGTGTATTTATTCATTAAATTACAATTCAGGATAAAGAAGATGACCCTGGACTTGATGACAACTGTAGATTCTACATGAACCAAATCCCCTCAAAACCTGATGGTATGTTATTAAAAATTATAATACCTTTCAAGGTGTATGTTCGATAATAATGGTGTTAGGTGAGCTTTATGTATCAACTAAAATTTGCTCAGATCATTTCAATGGCTCCTTTTCCCCATTCAGAGCTAAAAATAGAAAACCCCTCACTCATCTTATGCAACTGAACTAAACTGTATCTTTTCTATATATACATGAAGGTATGCCTGAAATATTATATTTAAATTTTGTTTGAAATTATAAATGCATGTACATATATATTAACATATAGGGATCACTTCTCTATCTGTCTCTCTGTTCGTCCGTCACAAAACTTTACAGGAATAATCAGTTCCAAATATATTTGTGCATATTTTCAGCATTTTCCTGTTCATTTATTTGTCAGAGTTATAACTGTTTAATGATTCTGATTTTTAAAGTTTGTCCGAACTACTGTTCCTATAGTAAGTAGGCATTACTTATTGGGATCACAACTTTGCGGTCTGTCTATCTGTCTGTCTCAGCTATCTTTAAATACTTATTTGGCTAGAGGAACAGTAGGTAATTGTACTTTCTCTTTAATATCATTTATTCCATAAGCGTTTTATTTTGCCTTTTCCCATTATCTCGCAAAACAGAACAATAGCGTAAGTAGCCACAAATATAAAGGGCCATTTATATTGTTATTTTCTTTAATAGTGGGCCATGGCCATTTCCTCTATTGTTATTGAATGAATTCTATTGTTCTCTTTTGTTCTGTTTATAGTAAGATGCCCACTATCCCTATTTGGTAGTACATATATATGTCTGTCCGTCACAAAACTTGTGAGGACAACTCCTCAAAAACGTCAGATGTAATTTCAGTCAAACTTTATAGGAATGATCAGTACCATGTCTTGTTGTGCATATCATCAGCATTTTCCGGTTGATTTTTGTCAGAGTTATGGCCCTTAAATAATTTTTGTTTTTAAAGTTTATCTGCACTATTTTTCTTATAGCACTAACGCAATTTAAATGAACTTTTACAAGATTGAGCGGTAGCTCTATTGCTTGCACATGTTTAACAGAGTTTCCGACCGAATGATTTTTGGCTCATTTATGGCAGTTGAATAAAAAGAAGAATTTTATAAAGCCTGTTAATGATTTCTGTGTCTCAAGTGATCGCTGTTGTTAATTTGTCTTTCAGGTGACTATATAGATCAGATTCAAGTGAATTGGTGGGGAGACTACAAACGTCTGGATGTTCACGATGGATACATACAGTGGTTGGTTAAAATAAATATTATATTGACACATACAACATTTGTCTTGTACAGATTTTTTTATCTCCTTTACCAAAAATACAAAAACGAAAACAACTAAACAAAAAAACAAAACAAAAATAAAAACAAACAAACAAACAAAAAACAAGTAAAAAGAATTCTTATAATACTAATATATAGTGCTACCTTTTATGTTTTTGTTATATTGGATAATTGTAAATTTAAGATTTTCATTTTTAACATTGTGACATCATAAAGCCTTAAATGTTGATGAAATAATTGAAAAAAGCTCATAAAACTTTAAAGCATGAATGTTTTATTGTAGAAGTTTGAATCCTGTGATAAAAAAGAAACTTGTCATACAATATATATTTTTCTCCAACTTGTCTACTCCTCACAAACATTTTACATTTTGCTATATTTAGTCCATACTTATTTGTTTTGTTTTATATCACTTTGTTTCCGGAATTTTGTACTTCACAACAGCAGGTGTCAAGTGCCGTGTGGCAGCCGTAAAAAGTTGCCCCGTACTTCACTTCAGTGTTGTTATATTTTCTGGTATTTCGGGATCATTGATGCCAACACTATAAAGTGTTGAGAATTGAGTACCGCTCAAGCCGGTGCTAGGGGGCGTGAGGGATGTTGCACTTATTCATTATCCCTCATGTACAGACTCAATCAAACCGAGTCTGCAATTCTTATGTTATTTTGTTGTGATTGATGCTTCCGAGGGATCACTTTGTTTCCGGAATTTTGTACTTCACAACAGCAGGTGTCAAGTGCCGTGTGGCAGCCGTAAAAAGTTGCCCCGTACTTCACTTCAGTGTTGTTATATTTTCTGGTCCTTCGGGATCATTGATGCCAACACTATAAAGTGTTGAGAATTGAGTACCGCTCAAGCCGGTGCTAGGGGGCGTGAGGGATGTTGCACTTATTCATTATCCCTCATGTACAGACTCAATCAAACCGAGTCTGCAATTCTTATGTTATTTTGTTGTGATTGATGCTTCCGAGGGATCACTTTGTTTCCGGAATTTTATACATTTATACAAGTGAAATAGCATGTCAAGCCTTAACTGGCTTAACCTTCCCCCCAAATCTGTATGTCCAAAATTCTACCCAAAACAGAGTATCTGCCCCCCCTTTTGAATTTATCCAATCAAATACTATATTTCTTATCTTTACTCTGTCTATCACAATTAATGTCTCATAATCAGATGTGCTTTTTGACCAGCATCAAAAGATTTCACACCCAAGTGATATTACTTTGAGAAGCTAAAGGAAGCAGACCAAAACTAATTTTCAGAGTATTCCCCTCAGCTTTCCAAAGAACCATTTTCTTCTGTTGTTTTGCATTCAAACAAATTTGAAAATAATTAAATGAAATATCTTTTAATTGTTAAAAATTTCCCCCACAGGAATCCATTTTAACTTGTTCATATTGCATTGTAACTGATGAAAATGTTGTGAGTAAATAAAGATATGTTGAACAATGTTAAGGTCTGCAACATACATGTATACTCGTACATGTAACTACTCGTTTGTGATCTTATCGTTTGTGGAAATTGGTATATACCAACATTATAGAGACCTGTCTGTGTGCACAATTATGTGCAGACTGGTCTTTCTCCATACCGGAGATAAAAGGCTTTACATAATCTGTTTCAACCTTAGTATGGTATAATGGGTTAACTTAATACATGTACATATTTGTATGAAAATATCTCTAACTGTGTATAAGTGGGTTTTACAGACCATAAAAACTGCATTGTGGTTGCATAAAATTCTCGCGCTGTAAACCTAAAACTTATAGTAAGATTTCTTGCTAGTTTTATTTCCTTGAATTTCCAATAAAATTTGTTACATAAATGTAATTCTTGGATAAGATTATATTTATTTCAGTATTATGTTATAACATGGTAAAACATCCAATATATGATAAAAAACAATAAAAACAATATCACATGTATAGGAATGAAACCACATCAAAGACATCATACCTAGGATAACACAGGAAAGAGAACTTAATCTCTAATTTTCTTTGTGGTCTTATTGATGGTTTTGACAAAGAGAGGCATGAAATGAATATCACAGTTTAAATTGAAGAAAGACTTTAGTGTACATAAAACATTCAAATTAGAAATAAATATATAAAATATAATAAAAAAATCTTTATATGATCTGAAGAAGGCGTTAAAGTGAGATTTAAGTGCTGAAGTTACAACTGCATTTATATGTAACATATTTTACAGTAAAACGTTTGATTTTTTTATGTGTTACAGGCTTTTCCCAATCCGTGAGTCTGGTACGAATCGGCACGCCCATGAACTACAGCTGCATGAAATAAAGGTAACTTAGTGTGTTTGTCTTAGTACCAAAAATACAAAGAGGAGAGAACATTAAAGGCCGATACCAGTCACTAAGAATGTACTGTCATTGGTTTTTCAATTTTTATTTTATTTTATTTCCATTTTTAAACTGAACTTAATTCTGGCTCACCAACTCAGGTATGTAAGATATTTATTGATCAACATTCCTCAATTTTATAAATGTTGTAAAAGATTCATGGTATTAGTTGATGCTGAAGTTTTGTCAAACTTATTCTAACCAATATTTTGTCAGGTAACATCTCTTTGAGTGCATGTCTAGAGCTCCATGTAATATATTACACTATACATTAATTGTCTCTTATGATTAAGTTTTTATATTGATCTTCATCAACTCTTTGAGTAAGATAAGTTACAAAGGTACAACAGAATTGTGAAAATGTTATTTTCAAAATCTATTAAAAAGTGCAATAGGTTTTAATTGATCAGTGTTAAGCATATTCTCCTTTAACAAACAAATACTTGAAGTAATAAGAGTTACTCATGATAATTTGTATTTAAAATGTATTCAGAAAATTCAGAGGAGTAAGAAGGCAATGCAGAGGATTTTGAAATCTTACAAAATGATGCTGGATTTCTATGGAATGGAGTTGGAGAATGAAGAAGATGGTACAATTGTTAGGGGAGATAACTGGAGGGACAGATTTAGACATCTCAACAGGTTAGTTCTCGGACAATGTCCAAGCTTCTTTTGAATGTATAAAAGAGTTATTTCTGACAGATTAGGGGTATAAAATACAAACTTTGCAAATGTTATTGTCCCCACCTTTTTTGAAGTAAAAAAGGGGAATATAGAAATGAACTCTGTCCGTCTGTCTTTCCGTTCACACTACCAAATAGCGATGTGACCATGTAGCTGTTAACAGAACAGAAGAGAGCAATAGACTTTATGCTGTATCAATAGAGGAAAGGGCCGATGGCCCTCTATTAAACAACAAAAAAAATACAATAGATATGACCCTTTTTCCCAACTCAGTCGCATGTCCGTCTGTGCATCCGCCAAACTTTCGTTTTTGGTCCATGTCTAAGCCATATCTAGACCCCTACCTCCAAGGACTAAGTCACACTTGATGATTCAAGGTCAACATAGTCTGTTGCATAGTATATGTCGTGTCCGGTCCATAACTCTTATCCATCAAGAGATTTTGAAAATACATGGCACAAATGTTTACGATAATAAGAACATGTGTCGTGCCTAACACCCGGATGCCCACCTCAAAGGTCACGCTTGGGGTGGTATTTTATAGGGTTTATGTTGTGTCAGGTCCGTAACTTTTTCATCAATCAAGGGGTGTTGATATTATATGTCACAAATGTAAACAATAATAAGACGACTTGTCATGCGCAACACCCGGACACCTACCTCATATAAAAATGTCATACAAAGTATACCCTGTGACAGAGCATATGCTGGATTGATATTGTATTCGTCACATTTTATGGCTTTGAAATGGTGATAACAACTATATAAATGTATTTCTGTAGTCACATACACTGTTGATCCATACCTCAATCTTTTAGGAATAGCATAAGTTTGTGATTCATGTTAGTTATCTTAGTTCGGGGACGCAGGTAAGTCTGTTAGAAATAACTTTGTGAATGGTTTCAGTCTACACTTAAGTAGGTCAGCTGGCTCGAAAATTTTTTTTTAATAAATAAATGAATAAATATTTCTGAATAAATTAGTAAAAAAAATCTTTCTTATCTTAAACTGCAAAGGCTAGAGGCTAGTAAGTTATCAATAAACATCATTTACATACATGTAATTGGGCCATACCAAGGTTATTGCCTTGGGGCCAAAATTGGCCCAATCTGGGATGAGGGTTCTTGTGCACATACAGTTAAATATTTAAAGACTTGTCTGAAGCCACAAAGCCTAGAGGTAAGATGTTAAGCATGATGCATTATATTGTGCTTCTCTACCAAAGTTTTTTTAAATTATGGCTCTTTAGATATACAGATATAGTAAAAAAATCTGCTCTGAACCTGCAATTGCTTCACTCAAGTTTACATGAACTATTGTCTTATGGATCTCTTAGAAGTTTATTTAAATTTTGGCCACTGCCTGGGATCATATGTTTTCCTATATAGAATGTAGTACATATTTTGATAAAAATGTCTCTAGGCACTAATGCAACTAATATTATGGGATAGGAACATGTTTCTCTGTATAGTTGGCAAATCTTCCCATAAACTCTAGTGTGTGAGAGAGGTAAGGTCCATCATGACCCTTTTGTTTTGAATAAGTAATCTAGCTTGTACATGCAAGGTCCATTGTTTACTGTGCATTGTATATGGTTTAAGTTTAATACAGTATAATCAAATGGCTTTTTTACATTTAATAACCAATTTAGTCTATGATTATTTGTTTTTCATGATAAATTTATAAAAATTACACCATCTTTAAGCTTACTGTAATTGATCAAAATCACACCTTATCATCATTACTTTACAGATCATTCAACAACTATTTGAGGATAACAAGAATACTGAAATGTCTAGGAGAATTTGGATATGAACATCTAAAGAAAAACTTTGTAAAGTTTATATTGTATGAAGGACTTGTTGAGGGTACCTTACCTAATGTCATTGACAGCTGTGTTAAGTATTGGATTGGAGTTTTGAAAGATGATGATGAAAGGGAAGAAATATTTGACTATTATGAAAAACTGTTGCAAGATGAAAATCTTCAGACAAAAAGGAGAAATAGATCACCTTCTCCTCCAAGTAGCTATTGGTCAGACAAGATTAAAGATTCAAAATCTGATAAAAAGTCATTATCCAAAAATGGAAAAAATAAAAAAGCTGATAGTAGGACAGACAAGAAAGATGAAGTTAACAGAGATAATGAAAATGAATTTTCTGATGATGGCGAGGATGGAACTCTATATTATGCTATGAGTTTAATTGATGAGGATCTTCCAAAAGGAAAGTCAAGAAAGGATCATGAAATGTCTGATTCAGGGCCTGAAAATGATGACCATCCAGAAGAAAGCCAAGAGATGGCACATTGGAAAGAAGAAGCAAAGAAATCTAAGGACAGTCAATTTGAAGGAGTCAGTGAGTGTGGTAACAGTAAAACTGGAAAAATTGCAACTGGAAAAAATAATTCTGTTTATGAAACTGAAGAAGAAGGTCACAAAAGAAATATGTATTATGCTATGAGTTTAATTGATGATGATCTTCCAAAAGAAAAGTCAAGAAAGGATCATGAAAAGTCTGATTCAGGGCCTGAAAATTATGACCACCCAGAAGAAAGCAAAGAGATGGCACATTGGAAAGAAGAAATAAAGAAATATAAGAGCAGTCAATTTGAAGGAGGCAGTGAGAGTGGTAACAGTAAAACTGGAAAAATTGCTACTGGAAAAATTAAGTCTGTTTATGAAACTGAAGAAGAAGGTCCCACTAGAACTCTATATTATGCTATGAGTTTAATTGATGAGTATCTTCAGAAAGAGAAGTCTAGAAAGGATCATGATATATCTGATTCAGGGTGCCACCCAGAAGAAAATGAAATGATTGCGCTTTGGAAAGAAGAAGAAAAGCAATCTAAGAGCAAAGAATTAGAAGAAGGCAGTAAATGTGGTGAAAGTGTACCTGGAAAAAAGGTTACTGGAAAAAGTAATTCTGTTAATGAAACTGAAGAGGAAGGTCCCAATAGAAATCTTTATTATGCTATGAGTTTAATTGATGAGTATCTTCAGAAAGGGAAATCTAGAAAGGATCAAGATATGTCTTATTCATGGTGCCAACCAAAAGAAAGTCAAGTGATGGCACATTGGAAAGAAGAAGCTAAGAAATCTAAGAACAATGGATTAGAGGATGGCAGTGAGTGTGTAGGCAATGTACCTGGAAGAATGGCTACTGGAAAAATAAATTCTGTTAATGAAACTGAAGAAGAAGGTCCGAATAGAAATCTATATTATGCTAAGAGATTAATTGATGAGTATCTTCAGAAAGAGAAGCCTAGAAAGGATCATGAAATATCTGATTCAGTGCCTGAAAATTATGACCACCCAGAAGAATGTGAAGTGATGGCATATTGGAAAGAAAAAGCAAAGAAATCTAAGAACAATAAATATGAAGGAGGCCGTGAGTGTGATGACAGTGTACCTGGAAAAATGGCTACTTGAAAAATTAATTCTGTTAATTCAACTGAAGAAGGCCCCAAAGACATTGTTGAGAAAAAATCAGGAGACAACTCAGAGTCTAATGGCCATTCTTTTACTATAATTGGAAAAATAAAGGAAAGAGAGGAGGCAAATCCAGTTGGCAGTGAAAATGAAAACAACGGTAATGACAAAAAAGATGTTATTGGTAATTCAGAAGATGAAAAGACTGATCCTAATAAAGAAAAACATATTGAAAATAGTGCTTTAAAAGCTTCAGATGAAAATGAAAATGTTGACCCTTTAAAGTCTTATCTTGAAAAGATGGAAACAACAGACACAGAAAATAGTACTTATTCTAATAAAGAACTGTTTGCCAAAAGTATTCAGATAAACCTAGAAGAAAAAATTATAGAATCTACAGAGAATAATAGCAACAAAATTAGCAGTGAAGTTTAAAATAAAGAAGAAGAATTGATGGAAACAGAAACAGAAAATTAAAAAAATATATATTAATATAACATGATTGCAATAGATTTGAAGTGCACTGTGACAATGGCATGTTTAGTTTCAACCATTTTCACAATGCTGTTTTTCTGTATTGATAAGTTTGATCATTATTGAATCATTGAGGAAAAAGGACAGTATAGAATGTAATAGTAATAACTATTGCATTTAATTTGTAACTTCCTGATTTATGTAATAGATTTTGCCTTCTTTTAATTTGAAATTTTCCTTTGTGATTCTAAGTTGTATGGACTTTAATATGAATAATAATAAATTAATACTAATTTGCCAGGTTGATAGAGAAACTTGACTTGAAAGAGGTGAAAGCTAAGTCTTACTTTATACTGATGGCAAAAGACATATAAATGAACTTAAAAATAATAAATTTATGTAAATTATTAGACAAATTTTGATTGGTTACAAATAAGGATTGCTTCTCCAGTATGTGTGGTACACAAAGTTAAGATTATGTTTTTTCCAATTTACCTCTGAACAACAAAAAATTCATAAATGTCTTTAAAACTGTAACTGTTGTTCCCTGTCCGTGACTGAATAATTATAAGTGACTAACATTAACTAATTAATATATTATTAAATATTTGACTGTTTCATTCCCTTTTGAGAGTTTAAATTAATGTCCAGGTCAGATCTTTTGTTTTGTTTTTTGTTTTGGTTGAAAAAACTGTTTGCATTTTGATAACTTAGTATCAATCAAGAGAGTATTTGGATTCATCATTAGATAAAATTGTCCCATTTTTGGAAGTTCATTCATGCTAAAGACATTTACAGAAATATTTGTATAGATAGATAATTTGTTTATTATAGTGACATGTGTTATACATACAAAAAGAACATAGTTTCAAAATAGAATAAATCAACACCCGGTCCAATGGGCCTATAAGTCACCTTAAATAATAGACTAAATTAAGCACATGTGATCAACTGTTACGGCATAAGATGTCAGCTAAACACATTAAGTACATGTATATGATTACAAATTTAAATAATTATGTACAGATATGACATATATATGTATGTTGATAATTAAAAAGAATGTCTGAAATTTACGAATATAACTGATTTTGTCTGGTCTGGAATGCCTTGACAATAAATTTTGCCGTTTTACGAATATTGTCATTCAGTAATATACGTAATTTTTCTTCACTTGTTTTGTTTAAAAAGTTGTTGTTTGAAAATAAATTGCCAAATATTCCACTGCGTAGTTTGCTGTATAATGTACAATGGAGTAAAAAGTGCGTTTCATTTTCAATTTCATTTTCATTACTAATACACTGTGAACATATTCTATCATGTAATGGTTCATTTATGTACCTCCCAGTTTCAATTCGTAACGGAAAGAATACAGCAACGCAATTCAGCTAACGCCGATCGTTCATTTTTCGATAAGTTCAAGATTACATATTGTTCAGTTTTGAACCCTTGTTTGAATAGTCTATATGTTCTTAGTTTTGGATATAATTGTAACGATGATTGCCATTTAACAGTGAAGTGATCGTTGACTTTATTTCTTGTCAATTGTATATCAACAATAGACTTATTTGTGAAATTGTCTCGTAAGCCAAGCGTATCCATAACAGTTTTTATATCACTGCTCCTGTTATTTTGACACAGTCTATAACTAATATATGAAATATTTATAACTAATATATGAAATATTTTCTTTGTCAGTCGATTGTAAATGTCATAAATGAATTAAAGATGTAGTATTTCAATGTGTAAAGTCTGCATTTTCCCCTCTGTCCAAACTTACATTTTGATACTTTTGTGGCTAGGGGAATGTATTTTTAGAATGTCAATACGTCTGTCTGTCACACTCTTGTCCGGAGAATAACTTAAAAAGTATGGAAGGAATATTCCGTAAACTTCACACACTGATAAAGACCATTAAACGGAAGTGCAGTGTCAAAAAATGATAACTCTATCTCCCTTTAGTTAAATGGTATGATATACTAGTATCAACAATATCTCGAATAATAATATCTTCAGACTACAGACTTGTAAAGACTAATTGTCAAAGAACCATAATGCTACAATTGTTTAGTTTTTGAATTATCTCCGTTTATGATACTTAAAAAGGCAAATGCTTGTCCGGAGTAAAACACCTAAACTATCATCAATATCTCATTGAAACTAAACACAGTTGTAAAGACTAGAAAGAGGAAGTCTAGTGTCAAAAAAGCTTAGTTTTTAGCTCGACTTTTCGATAAGAATAAGTAGAGCTATTGTAGTCACACGAGCGTCGGCGTCGGCGTAACCACTTATTTTAAAGTTTTTGTAATACCTCAAATATTTTTAAAGTCCATTGACATATGGCTTTGAAACTTTGCACACTTGTTCACCATCATGACCATAATCTGTAGACAGGAGGAGATAACTGTATCAAGCATTTTGACAGAATTATGCCCCCTTTTAACTCGACTATTCGATAAGAATAAGTAGAGCTATTGTAGACACCCGAGCGTTGGCATTGGCGTCCGCGTCGGCGTAACCACTTATGTTAAAGTTTTTGTAATACCTCAAATATTTTCAAAGTCCGTTGACATTTGTTCACCATCATGACCCAAACCTGTAGACAGGAGGAGGTAACTGTATCAAGCATTTTGACAGAATTATGCCCCTTTATCGACTAAGAATTTACGTTAAAGTTTTTGTAATACCTCAAATATTTTCAAAGTCCATTGACATGTGGCTTTGAAACTTTGCACATTTGTTCACCATCATGACACCAATCTGTAGACAGGAGGAGGTAACTGTATCAAGCATTTTGACAGAATTATGCCCCTTTTTCGACTTAGAGTTTACGTTAAAGTTTGCATACCACCTCAGATTTTTTCATATACTATTGACATCTGGCTTTGAAACAAGTTGAAATTTTATACTCTTCTTTGGGAGCATAATAGGATTATTTTCAAGGCCTATAACAGTAACATGGATTTAAAGGAAAATTTGGCCCTTTTGTTATTACTTTAGAAAATTTTACATTATCAAGGCTCTTTTAGTAACAAGCACTAAGAATAGTCGAGCCATGCTGTCCTACCGACAGCTCTTGTTGAATTATCTCCCTGTATAATACTTGATGTTTGTCCCTAAAAAGTACTGAAGTAATCTGAAAAGAACTTCAAATAGTGATAGATATCAGTGAAAGAGTGCAATGTCAAAGAACAAAATAAAATTTCAATAATTCTTGTCATGAGTGTAGTTGTAAATGATATCTCATTGGAACTTTACACAGTTACAGCAACAAGTCAGAAGAAATGCAGTGTCAAAGAACAATATCTCCCTTTATGGAACATAATAATAAATATATTGACGCAGAGAGAAGATCTAAACTGCTACCTATTATCTCCCTTTATAATTCCAAATGTTTGTTAGAAATTTGGTTAAGATTTAGAGCCTGTTTCTTGGTTTATAATGAAAAAGAATAATATTTCATAGTAATGGCTTTCAAAGATGTTTATTTCCAATATTTTACTTCAAATAACAAAACAAACGTCAGTCAGCTACAAGTAATCTATATTAATATCATGCTTATATCTGTTTAAGTTAGTAATACATGTACTCCATTTTTTCTCATGAAATACACGACTTAATAACACAGAGTTGTTTGAGTGTATTTGCTACATTGATAACAATACTGAGAAGTGACCAACACTTTCGTAAAGTTTTTTTTGACTCTAGGTTAAATATTTTTGGGGCTATGCGCGACACAATGAAAAAAAATGCAAATTTTACTAAGTCAAGGGAAATAACTCTACAAATACTGATAATGCACTTACAAACCCACAGATGCACAAATTCACATACTCACCAACATTTTCTCTTTAGGTCAAATACTTTTAGGGCTAGGCACGACACAAGTCAATTTAACTAAGTCAAGGGCAATTACTCTACAAATACTGAATAAATCCACAGACACTTGGGGTTTGGAGCTCAAAACGCCTTTAAAATCCAAATAAAATGCATATTTGTCAATCCCAGCACATGTACTGATCATATATATCAAAAAAACTTAATATAAGCCGTTTTGAAAAAATTTCATATTTCAACATCTATAATTGATGTTGAAAAATGATTTTTTTCAAAACGGCTTATATTAAGTTTTTTGATATATATGATCAGTACATGTGCTGGGATTGACAAATATGCATTTTATTTGGATTTTAAAGGCGTTTTGAGCTCCAAACCCCAAGTGTCTGTGAATAAATCCACGAGCAAACCCCCAGGTGCACAACTAAACATGCTGAACAACATTTCTGTAAAGTTTCATGACTAGGTCAAATCTATTTTGGGCTACACTCGACACAAGTTGAAAATTGCCAAATTTTTATTTAATCATGGACAATAACTCTTCAAATACTGAATAAATGCAAACCCCAGGTGCTTAACTACATGTGCTGATCAACATTCCTGTATTTAAAGTTTCATGACTAGGTGAAATACTCTTTGAGCTACGCACAACACAATTTGAAAATTACAATATTTAACTTAAGCAGCAGCAAATACTGGACAAACTGAATTAATCCAGTCATGCGAAACCCCATGTGCACAACTTCACATGCTGGTCAACATTCTCGTAAAGTTTGTTGACTCTAGCTCAAGCACTTTTAGAGCTACACGCAGCACGACGTGAGAATGCAAGTATGCACGGACGGACAGACAAAGGCAAATCTTAATGTCCCCTCTAAAGTGGGGGCACAACAAACCAAAAAAGAATTATATGGATGTTGTTGGTACATGATCCGATATTACATATCCAGCAGAAAATGTGTTCGTGTCAGACTATATTAAGGACCTTTCATCGGCTACTGGTGCAGTGAGAGAAACTGTTTCAGGCTAAACAGTTACCAAAGAGCTAGATATTTCCGTATGTGACGACAGCCGATGTTTGATTATTTTCTTCCATATTAAAGGAAGTCCACTGAGGTCCAAAGGCATAATGATACAAAATTTGAATTTCTTACATAGAGTACATGGGGAACTTTGATCAGAAAGATATGCAGAAGATACCCAGAAATACATTGAAAATCATATTTAAATGGTATTTTTAGCCCGATTTGAGTTGCGTTGAGATCAGCTGCAATGCTATTAAATCGTGGGCCATTTTCCACTATTAGAATAACCGTTCTGGGAAAACGGAGCGACGGTAATACAGGTTTTTCTTGCATATCAGACTGGCGTTTCCGTGAGTTTTACCCATACCGGAAATTTTCATCTGGCATGGGGGGGGGGGGGGGGGGGGGGGGGGGGGGGGGGGGGGTTCCAGATGAGTCGCGTGCTGGATTTAGGAAAAAGTATAGCACTACTGATCATATATTTTCTCTGAAAACTTTGATTGATTTATATCTGTCTAAAGGTAAAAAGTTTATATTGTTCTTTTATTGATTATAGAAAGGCTTTTGATAGCATAAATAGAACTGCACTTTGGCAGAAATTAATTAGCAATAATGTTGATGGTAAATGTATAAAGATCATTTATAACATGTATTTACAAGCTAAATCTTGTGTTAAAATTAATTCTTTTAGTCATATGTCGGATTTTTTTACAAGTCATACAGGCGTTCGTCAGGTGAAAATTTATCTCCCATATTTGTTTTCTTTATTTTTAAATGATTTAAACTATTTCCTGTCACAACATTTTAATGGTCTGGATCTACTATCAAACATTGTAAATGATACCCTGAGTGATTCTGATGTTGAAATGTATTTTTAAATTGTATATTCTTTTATATGCTGATGACACTGTCATATTTGCTGAATCTGCTGAAGAACTGCAAAAAAGCACTAGATGCAATGTCAAATTATTGTCGATTAATTATGGCATTTACAAGTTAATCCTAGTAAAACTAAAATTGTTGTTTTTTTGTAAAACTAAAAGAGGTTTATGTAATATTCCAGCCTTTAGTTTTGAAGGTAATTTGCTAGAAATTGTTGATGATTTTTCATATCTGGGTGTTAAGTTCTCTTATAATGGTAAATTTGCTAAAACAAAGAATAATTTATTAGAACAGGCAAGGAAGGCTATGTTTTCAATTATAGTTAAGGCTAGAAAATTGGATTTGCCTATCAGTATGCAAATTCATTTATTTGATAGCATGGTAGCACCTATATTGTTATATGGTAGCGAAGTGTGGGGAATTGAAAATGTGAATATCATTGATAGATTTCAATTAAAATTTTATAAACTCATATTAAATTTGAAACAAAGTACTCCAAATTGTATGCTTATGGAGATTTAGGGATATTACCTTTATCTATTCATATAAAAAGTAGAGTTTTTGTGCTTTTGGAATAAGATTTTAAGTAGCAAAACAGGAATCAATAAGCCATATATTGTATGATATGTCACACTCTTTGTATTGTAGAAATGTGTTGAAACTCCCATGGATGAATAGTGTTTGTAAATTACTAGATTCACTGGGTTTATCAAATTTTTGGATTAATAATGTTGCCACTTCTCTTCCATTGTTTAAGAAAATTGTTAAAAATAGACTGAAAGATCAGTTCATTCAAAATTGGCATAGTGAAATGTCACAATCGAGTAAATGTCTGAATTATAGAATGTACAAAAGTGAATTCAGATTTGAAAAGTTTTTAGATATTTTACCATCTCATTTAGCTTTGGTACTATTACGCTTTAGATGTATGAACCATAAAATGCCTATTGAGTCTGGTAGATTTTGTAATATACCAAGAGAATTAAGAGTGTGTAATTTATGCAATAATAGCTCACTTGGTGATGAATATCATTATTTATTTAATTGTCAATTCTTTAATACTGATAGAAAAAAATATATTACTAGAGAGTATAGTACTAATGTTAATTCAATCAAGTTTTCTATGTTAATGAATAGCACAGATAGGAGTATATTGTTAAAACTTGCAGTATTCTGTAAAAAAATTATTTCAGCATTTAAGTAACTGATAACTAAGCTTATTTTCATAATGTAACACTTTCATTTTTGATTTATATTTGCCATGTAATACATCAGCATATTTCGTGGATATCTCTTTATATGTCATAATATATGTATATATTATTGTATATGTGACTGATGCCTCTATGAGGCCCAGCATTTTCAAATAAACTGTTCAAACTGTTCAAGCTGTACAATGGCACGGTTAGGATGACGTCATTTTACCGTTATGAATGAAGTTGTAATTCATACGCAGTTGTAAGAAAGTAGTTACTGTTGTAATGATAAACATTTTCATTGAAAATACAGATAAAGAATTTAAAATATAATGGAATATGTGCGGGTCACCTCGGGACGGATATTCCGATCCGAACCGCAAAATATGACAAATATTATTATTCTATCACCGGTGTGAAACAGTCGATAATCATGTCTGATATTGAATTATAGTAACTTTTAGCAATTTGGGGTTTGAAAACTAATGGTATTTTCAAATACTATGTAAATCAACTGCAACTATTAATATGTTTTTGATATTTGAAACCATAGAATTCATTATTTGCATTGTTTTAATGACTGCATGTGTAATTAACAATACACTTAATAATTAATAATACAATGTAGTGTACCTTTCATTTTATTTTTTGGGGTATTGAATCAAATTTGACCAATTACAATTAAACAAATTTCAGAAATTTTAATTGTACTCTTTCTATCATGTCCAACTTTCCCCATATTTCATTTCCGTATAACATGACAGTGATCATGAAAAGTTCTATTTGTAAATCAACTGGCATTAATAGATCTCTTGCTTTCTTTATAAGGGAATACATTGCTCACGTAGCTCATATACTATAGCACGTTTTACTTGAAAAAATAAACAACAACTTCTACCTAATAAAATACCCAAATATTTGTAATCGTTTGTCCGTTCAAAACACATTTAGAACTTTTGTTTTATCAATATTAGAAATATTTATTCAAAATTGTGCTCATTGTAGACCACTTTAATTAATTAAAAGCTTGATATGCTTTGATTTTTTGTCTATTTACAAAAACAGAAATATAATGTCCTCATTCATTAACTCTTACAACTACAAATATTTTATAGCATATTAAAACAACATTTTGCGTAGTAATAAGTACAATTTTCAGTTGGTCAGTACCGGCGCATTTAGAATTATTTTGCGAAAATATTGCATTTTTTTCTATTTGTATCGATATAATTTCTACATCTAAATCATTATCATAGATATAACCTTTTTTTACATCATTATTTGCATGATCAGATAGTGGTATAGAACTGTACAAATTATTAAAATGTATCTGGGACTTAAAATATCTGGCACTTAAAACACCATAAATATTGATGATTATTTATACACATTCTGGACATTTTAAGTCCCAGAATGTATATACATGTACATATCATCAATACTTACGTTACTATTTTCTATAATAAGTTGACTGTATTGTGTTCTCACGTTTCTCCCGGAACTAATTTTAAGTCCTGCTGGTTTCTCCAGAAAGACTTTGGGTTACATAATATGCTAATTTTGACTATGTATTCCCTCAGCCTTTTTGAATGTAGGTTTACATCTAGGTTTTAATTTCTTAAACCTTTCTCTTATTTATAAAATACTTTTATTCCTGTTCGTTCTATTTCTCAATAATATATTTCTTGCTCTATGTCTCTATTTAATGTTTTTCTGGCATCATAGCAGTCTTTATCAAACCACTTACGGAATTATTATTAATAAAATCAGAGAAGGAACTGACCATGTACGTATGTATAATTGTTATCATTTGTAATTTCCATCACGGATCTTAATTGATATAAACCCATGCTTTCACTTTTTTCCCACTAGATCTGTACTGTACAGTATGTATTTCTTGTGCAGAAATTTGAAAAATTGTAAAAATGTTGTTTTTTTTATGACACACAAAACATTTTGTTTGAACTTCATGAAAAAAAACCAGGATAGTTCAACTTTGATTGATGTAAACCATGACTTCGTGGCATACTTTGATAATTTTGGTGACGTGAGTTTATATTTGTTGAGTATAACAAATGACAGAGAGAAAATGTGTTCCTTATATAATTTAGTATTCCATGCCGTTTATAAGCCGGTAAAATTTATGGAAACCAGTCATGATTCTTCGGAAATTTCCGTCAACCAATCATTGTATAGATAGATACCCGTCAAAGTCCGTCGTTCCAGGAAGTAAACAAACTTACAAAGAAATCGGCATGTCATATCTCAAAGCGCCGATTAATGAATTAAAACATTAAAACTAAAGTATGTCATGATGTGGATATTCATTTGTGCTGTAATATTTGTTGTTTCGAACAAGGGATATGGAATTGAAGGTGGCTGCTCTCCAAAGGTAATTTTATTATTATGATGGTGATATTCTAAAACTTTCACTTTCAGATATAAAAGTAGATAAATCAGTATTATTTGAAGGCTAAGGCTATTAACACAACCAGTGTCACTAAGATGTTGTACTTCGAATGGAAATCGCTATAACAATGTTTTGCAGAAGGCTAAAAAAATCCCTCATCCTATTCTACAAAATCCTAAAAAAGCATTTCATTTTCAGAGTGACACAGTGAACAATATTTAATTGGGCCTTATCAGTAGAAGAAAACTAGTTTTGATTTAATTAATTAAGTTGATATACAATATGTTCTACAGAACATGCATTTAAATTCAATAGATGCAAATAGCTACTTTACACAACATTCATACAATTTTCAATATAACATTACATTTATTTTTTATTTTATAATTCAGTCTTAATTTTGATATAAATTTACATTTTGCGATATGTCTAAATACCGAATATGAATTCATATTCCTGAATATGAATGGGAGTACCAAATAACATGTATATAAAAACAAAACAAAACTTTGTTGTTTAGGTTTTTGACTTAACATAGTCAAGTTCAAGCAATGTAAACTGTCACATGGAAGTACCGTTAAGTTAGCAATGACACAAATTGTCAAACTTCCAAAATATATCCTTATAATATATTTCATGTAATTGAATTTATTGAAAAAAATGTTCGTTCTGTCAAACTTCCAAACTATATCCCATAAATATATATTTCATATAACATTAAGTTGTGCTCTGTATAGAAATGAATAGTCAAAGTGAAATTTTACTGTAAGTTTCTGTAACAGTTGCCGAGTATATATAGTGCTCTGGAAATAAACCAACAAGCTATTATCGTGGACAAGCCAGTTCTCAAACCTCTAAGCATTTAGGAGGTCATGTTAATAAGAATATATATCTTTATAAAAATTCTTTACATATGTACACTTTAATCTTTATTTTTATAACATTTCTGTAATATTTGGCTGAAATTCAATTTCCATTCTGGAAAAGCACAACCCTCTTTTGTAAAACTGACATGGCCTCTTAAAATAAAGAACTTAATCTCAAACCTCTCCAACAATCTCTAAAATTCTACTGTTTAGTTTAGTCAATAAAGTGATTGTCATATGACTATCACTTGATATTGGGTGCTCTACAGGATGCAGGTACCGCAGCTTTAAGATCTTTTGTTCCTTATTAAATATTCAATTTCACAATGAGTTAATGGTGAGTATACAGGACTTTCAAAGGTGATAGCAGTTTGTATGAAATTACACTAACTTAAGTAATAAAATATGTAATATAAATATCCTTCCCTATGCATTGTTTTCATTTTACAGCAGCAGGCATGTCTGTCAGAAACAAACTTTTATGCTAACAAATTGATAACATCATAGGCACTTCTAGTAAAAAAATAAACCGCTCATGAATGAAAGGTTTGTGAATAGTTTGGATGTGAGATTAGGTACTTATGTGATAATAGGAATAAATTGATAGATTTTTGTACACTTTGCATCATATAAATTATTGAACAGTGTGAAATGAATTAGTTACCTTTCACACATCAGTTTGCCATTTTCAAGTTTAATATGAAAAAAAGTTCTTTAATACTTTATATAAGAAATGAATTACTCTTTAAAATAATTAAATTATACAATTGATCTACAGTGAATTCTCAGATGACATAGCTATCATCTTTCATGTTAAAGTATTTTAGAATCAAATCGTAATATTTTCAAATTTGATCGTTAAATTCATTGAAAAATTATCATGTTTCTGCAAGACTTGAACAAGATTTAAGTCTGGTTTGTGGAGTTTTTCATACAGGTATAAAGCGACGCTCTGATTTGATAATGATAATTAGCGGTCGTCATATGGGCGGATACAATCTCTGCTCTTTACATCGCTAAGTAATTACTATTTGGGAATTAAGATTTTATCGGCGATGTTGACTATTCTTTGATCAATCGGGAGAGCGAAATTGGAATATACACGGCGAAGTTTTCGCCTGAATCGCCCTTCCGGATGAGCCCTGTCATAAACAAATTATTTGAAAATTTCATGGCACACTTTAGTTTTGCTAAAAGATATGTTTTTCCCTACTTTTGACTTACCTGTATATGATACAATATATGAGCGGCGTCATGACAAAACCAACATAATGGGTTTGCGACCAGCATGGATCCAGATCAGCCTGCGCATCCGCGCAGTCTGATCAAGATCCATGCTGTTCGCTTTCAAACCCTATAACAAGAAGAGAAACTGATAGGGAACAGCATGGATCCTGATCAGACTGCGCGGATTATGTTGGTTTTGTCATGACGCGGCTCATATATTTTCATGAAAAAATATAAGTAAACATAAGATACAATCTAACTGAAACCACAGTACTTTACATACTTCCTTATGTGAAGAGAGAAAAAAAATGATGTTGCTTTTACTATCATTTGTTAAAAGTGAAGGTTAATAAGAAGTATCAATATTTTTGCTTTTCTTTGTACCCCTATGATAGTATCTATGACACAATCTTTACAAAAGGAACTAAGTAACATTCCCCAGATGCATGTTATAGTGCATTTTGGTACTCATTATATTTCAAATTCCCTTCAATTTATTTTAAACTTTGTCCTGCTCATGTAGTATTGCCAGGGTTTAAACCTGTGACTACACGCTTTATATTATACATAAAATATTACAGAAAATAATTATGTCATAGCAAATATTTAATTCTTTATTTTCTTTAAAAAAAATAGATAAAATTGCCTCTTCTGTTTTATTTTCAGTTGGATGTACCTTGTGAATTCATCAGATATACTGGTGAAGGTATGTAGAACAATTTTTAAAAATGATCAAAAAAATTTTCTTTCTCAAATTGTTTCAGTATGTTATTAGTTGATATTGTTTCAGCTTTTAAAATATGTATACATTGTAACCCAATTTAACCAAAAAATTGCCTGATCCAGAGATGCCAAAACTATTTACTGCTACCTCTAATACTACTATTAATAATAATTTCACTAATCACTATATGTTCATGCAGTTCAAACTTGCATTTATTGTTTAATTGAACATAAGTACTAATTATAACTATATATATATATATTTATATAACAAATTGATAATTGAACTACATAAAGCTCAATCTTAGACATTCAAATCAGATCATCGTTTTCCCTCTGTTACCTTTCACTACGAATAGCGAAGGGAAGTGGAGCGACAGTTAGGATATGATTTTAATGAGATTGACATGTACCTGATTTTCTTTCACACTGCAAAACAAGTGATGTTAGTCATAATCCAGCATGTTGAAGAGCTGTCATTGGAAAGCATATCTATGACATCGGAATCGGATGTCAAATATTGACAATACACTAATATTTCGAGAATTATTTAACTTGTCTGTAACTCACATTCAATATGATTTCAGTAAAATACATGATTTCTGTTCATATGATTTATGATGAACCTTGTGTAGGATTTTTTTATACCCCCGCACAACAAAGTTGTAAGGGGGGTATACTGGAATCAGGTTGTCCGTCCGTCCGTCCAGCTGTCCGGCCGTCCGTCGGTTTTTTCTTGTCCGCCCAATAACTTAAGATTCCTTTGACCCTTAGTCTTCATATTTGGCATGGAGGTTAGTCGTGATTAGTAGATGACCCCTATTGATTTTGAGGTCACCAGGTCAAAGGTCAAGGTCACGGGGCCTTGACTTCAAAAAGGCTTGTCTGCCCAATAACTTAAGATTGCTTTGACCCATAGTCTTCATATTTGGCATTGAGGTTAGTCATGATTAGAAGATGACCCCTATTGACTTTGAGGTCACCAGGTCAAAGGTCAAGGTCACAGGGGCCTTGACTTCAAAAAGCTTGTCCACTCAATAACTTAAGATTCCTTTGACCCACAGTCTTCATGTTTGGCATGGAGGTTAGTCATGATTAGTAGATTACCCCTCTTGATTTTGAGGTCACCAGGTCAACGGTCAAGGTCTCAGGGGCTTTGACTAAAAAAAGCTTGTCCGCCCAATAACTTAAGATTGCTTTGACCCACAGTCTTCATATTTGGCATGGAGGTTATTCATGATTAGTAGATGACCCCTATTGACTTTGAGGTCACCAGGTCAAAGGTCAAGGTCACTGGGGCCTTGACCATAAAAAGCTTGTCTGTCCAATAAGTTTAGATTCCTTTGACCCACAGTCTTCATATTTGGAATGGAGGTTAGTCATGATTAGTAGATGACCCCTTTTGATTTTGAGGTCACTGGATCAAAGGTCAAGGTCACAGGGACTTTGACTTCAAAAAGTTTGTCCACCCATTAACTTAAGATTCCTTTGACCCACAGTCTTCATATTTGGCATGGATGTTGATCATGACCATAAGGTGACCCCTATTGATTTTGAGGTCACTGGGTCAAAGGTCAAGGTCACAGGGATCTTGACAAAAGAAAGCTTTTCTTCTCAATTGCTAAAGAATGCCTGTCCGCAGTGTATTGATTTTGACATTTTCACATTTGAAGCATGTAGAATACATAACTTAGCAATGCACTGGCTTAGTAACCTCAGATTTGGCAGGGTCCAGGTTGTCCTTGATCTCTAAATGGCCACTGTTGATTCTGACAAAGTGGTATGCGGGGGTATTCACGCCATGATAGTGGCAGTTCTAGTTATGATATTTTTTTGTCATCAATGTTGTGAAATGTGTCCGTTAAGTAACAACAGCATAGTAACTAACTTTTAGACATGGGCACCTGCTTCTGTATTTTTGGTGAATTTTTCATAAATTCTAGTCATTTAAATAGTTAATCAAATGAAGGAATTTTTTTCAAATGTGCATTGATTATTGATTAACAGAAAAATATTGAAAAAAATATATTAGTATAGTTTTCATCGATGACAGCTTAACAGCATGTCCTTTATTTTATTATGAAAATCTACAAGCATCTAGGTTGCTGTACCAAATGTTACAAGGAACCCTATTTGGTCAGCTGAGATTTCCTGTCCCCATTCCTCCACGCAAAATCCTGTATCTGTTCCTCAGGAAAACAAAATTATTTGTGTTTGATCTCTATACCAATAAATTAGTGTCAATTCAAGCAGTTGGTAAACATTAATAATTAAAATTAAACTTATATTGTCTTCAACCAAGAGCAGGCATACATGTATCTAGAAACTTTCAGTCGGTAGGAAACAATTTAATATCATAACTGCATAATGTAACATTTTATATAGTCCTTTTCATAGTGTGTTTGATTTAACATTTTTAATGGCACGAAACGCATTTCTATTTAACTTGGTTATAACCATTTTCAACATGATGTTTATAAAGAAAAAACCAAAAGACCATGGACAAAAAGCACAAAAAAGCCCCCCAAAGACAAAGAAACCAACCAAAACCCAGCAATACACCCAGCCACGTCACACTAAAAAAAAACAAAATAAAAAAAAAAACGGTCATCTCTACTCTATCGTACTAGGCCGGAATCATTAAGATGTGTGTAAATAATTAGTTTTTAGGTGGATCTTTTTTGTAACTCACAAACAAGTTTCTGATAAGTGAATTTATTTGCTTTAGTGTAAAAATAAAGAACACTGTATTATACTGTAAATAACAAATAACTGGGGTGCTAGGTTGTTGATTATTCAGCTGACATATTTATAAATTAGAGTCTGATTGTTGACAGTAAAGACATTACATACTTGTCATAGTGATGAGTGTAGACTGACGCAAGAAAGATCTCACTTAAATGGAGACATCTTCATTCAGGAATAAAACTGTTTTCTCAATAAATAAAAGTTGAGAAAGGAAAGTGAGTTGCGCTACAGTTGATAATTGAATCCAGTAATAAAATTAATTTATGTCAAGTACATTTCTATGGAAGTAATTAGTACCATACATTGGGATATTTTTACCCTGATTAAATTTTTTCTCCTATTTTGTCACCTTTATGAATTAATAGCATAAAAGATATGCCTGAAAAATACTGCTACATCCAAAATTAAATACAGTATAAATCTTGACAAATATTCCAATTGATATGTTCAAACATACCAACCGTATAAAGGCTTTCACTTGTGTTTACAAAATCTATTTCTCAATACATTGACATTCAATAACGTTTATGAAAGGGACTCTTAAACTTGCTTTACTGTTATCCTAATTGTTGCATGAGATTTTGTCACCTTAGCCTAATTTCTGACAAATATATAATTGAAATAGTTACGAAAGTGTTGTAATTATTGCAATCAATAGTGCGGTTTTCAGTTATCTATAATTGTGAGAGCTTTAGGATATTAGAATGGAAATGACTATATAAGATAATCAAATGTTTGCTTTTGTTACATTGATATGTTTAGAAACAGTACTTAACATAGTTGATTTTTAATTATACAAATGTAATTAAGTCACATGAACACATGGCAGATAACAAAGTTATTATATTTAAAAATTGTGTAGTGTTGCAATAAAGATTCTTATTATATTAGGTTGGTTTGTTGGGTTAATAGTGCTGATATTAACATAACTTCAGCCATGTATCACTAATTTTACCTATTAAAGGAAAATGCTACAAGGTTCTCTAATATAGTAATTTAAATCTGGTTTTTCCGCACAGACTCTCTCTATAAATCATTTTTAAATTGATCAAATATAGATGGCATTAAGATAGGATAAAAGAAAAAGCCCATGTTCTTTTCCCAGATTATAATAAAAATATAGGGTCTGCCATTTCAAATTTGATAGTGAACCAGTACTCCAAGATTTGATCCATTTTGAGAAATGAACCTTTTTTTTTTATTTTCTACCTAATATATTAATTTAATTCTCAAATTTTAACCGAGGCAACTGCCTCGGTTTACCTCAGTGTGGCAACGGTGCAGCCCACCCAAGAAACTGATTCAAAATTTTTAATTGATGTAAAAGAACACTTAGCTCACGTGGCCATGAAAGCGTAAAGTCAATTGTTCTATAATGATAGGTATGTATGTATTATGTAACACAATAAATAATTATGTTGAAAATGCTTCTTATCAGAAAACAACCACAAAAGAATTAAGTATAGTTGATGTTGTCAAGTGTGAGATAAATGATCGGATATGACATAATCCGTATACTTATATAGTAGATAATAAAATGTTCTAGAACAAAACATTATTATCATTCATATAAAAGTTTATTATAGACCAATCCACTTTAAAAGTTAAAAGAATTCTGAATTTCACATAAAAAAAAAGAAGACAATATCTTGTCTGCATCAAGGACAAGGCTGTTTTAATTCCCAAAACATGTGAGTGATAAGCCAACAAAACCTGTTAAAGGGACTCCACTGAGGTAATATTGGACATGACGAGGCTTGAAATGATTTTTCAAGATAAATGTTACATTAGATGTAGGTCTAGCTCAATAACATGTACGCAAATTTCCGATCATTGGTTCAATCTGTTGGAAAATAACCTAAAATTGAAAAATGTGTTGAAATGCTTTTCTCTCAAATCAGGTTAACAATAGCATAAAATATGCTTTATTAAGGCCTCAGCTGATCTACATAAGAATTTCAAATATTATGTTTTTAGGTTTTAACATGTATAAATAATGTAAGGTATTAGGGAGAATTGACCCGACCCTCCCATACCTGTATTACAGGGTGAATAAACGGGGTTACCCAGTTGGGGCCTCAAAAACAAAAAAAATGTTTTTAGGCTATTGGTCCTCTGAGTGGAGTTCCTTTAATTATTTAAATAACAACAAAAAAAAACAAACCCAACACTGTAATGATCATAATGTTCACAGGTTTTGTTCAGAAAATCTAAGCTCACAGTCTCCAATCAACA